CAGTTGGGGCGTGGATGGTGGTGGTGGTGTTTGGTGGTCGTTTTGTGTCGTTTGGTGGTGTATTGGTTGTTTTGTTTCGATTTCATTGTTGAGGCTTTTTGGTGGTTGTGGTTTTGTTGTAGTGTGGTTTGTATTGGCAGTGTTGAAGTCTAGACAATGCCCATTTCCTTGCGTGCGGGGGTGCCATAGTGCTGAGTGCGTAGTTGACTTTACGTTGGGTTTTTCACGCCTGGGTTAAGTCGCAGATGTTTTCCGACTTCTTGTGCCGTTGGTTGTATTGGGAGGTGTATAGATTGTTTGTGTTTGGGTCTTTTTTAGCGGTTAGTGATTGTTTCTTGGGCTGTGGTAGCACTTTATCTCTCTTTGGAGAGCTTGTATTGGAGGTCTTTCTCCTTGTATCCACTTTGTTTGCCTTCTTTGGAATATATTGTCGATTCTCCTCAAAAAAAAAAAATATATCAATTCAAACCCTAATTAATTATTTTAGTTCCCTCTACTATATCAATTATGTTTTTTATTAAACGAGCAGCAGAGTTGTTTACTCAAGCTTCAAATCCCCTAAATAGTTAGTAGGTAAAAAGGGAATGTGACAAACAACTACTAAACGACTATATAAAGCCTACACCAATCCATTCCTTTCAAGCTTGATCATGCCCTTAGACTCGTTACCTTGTTTGAGTGAACTCGATGGCTCTGCCCTCTATTCGGTCGGAACCCTATTCGAGATTCACTCCTCAACCTAGAACCAATTAATTGGATATCCTACTAACAACAGTCAACAAAATAAATTCAAGGCATATCTTGACATGGAAGCCCTTGCCACGTTCTTAAAATGAATGAAAGATGGACAACACGAAGAACTCACCGAGATTTTATTCTCATTATCGCAACCAAAATTCATATATAACTATATACAGGAAACACCAAGAATACCAGAACACTATTTGTAATATGCATCAGCCATCTAACTATACACATTATTTCCCCAGTGACGATAAGCAGATAACATTCAGCAAAATCTCAAAAACATAGCACAGAATACAGTGGATTAAGAAACAAAATCGACTGCAGAATCGGAGAAATATCTATAAATGCAATACATTTATCTCGCTTATTGTAAGAAGGAAAATGAGCTTCACTATCCACTTTACAGACAACCCAAGTATATGCTCAGAGTTTCATCACAAGCCACTACTATAAAAAATTCCCATAACAAGGAATAACAGAAACATTAAAAAAAAATAAATGCTTGGAAGTTGGAAATATTAGGTCATACTAAAATTGGATCTCCCTGTCAGCTAGTGCTACGAGCAAACAAGTCTCTCGTAGAATAAAATGTAGCCATGATCCGTGTTACTAGAATACTCCTGCGCTGCACCAAAGAAAGTCTGAACAGCAGACTCCTCAATCATCTCCACATTCTCGTCGTCAAAAAATAACCAATGGTTGTGACTTTTCACGAGGCTGACGTAGTGTCCGTGGTTTGGACCACTCCCTACATGAACTACCACAGCAAATAGGGAATATTCAGCATCTGCATCCTCAACTGTATTGCTCAGCCTCAGCTCGAGAGGGAAGACGACACGGTAAGATAGCTTTTTATACCGGCCGAGTTGTTCGATGAACTTAAATCTCTTCAAATGAATGACCAGGATGTGAGGTGGCTTTTTAATCTTCATTCTCTTCTGGGCCTCCTGTAAACTGCACATTGGAACAACGCTCGGTACCAATTAGTTAAAACATGAGGAGCCTTTCAGTGAAGCTCGAGTCAAAGTTGCTTTTTGTTCCCTAAAATGTTTAAATAACTTGCCTTTTTCTTACACTTTTAAGTGGAAAAAATTAATTATTATGAAAGTAACTCTTACACTATTTTCAAAATAAGTAACTTAATTCCAATTTGAGCAATTAAACAATTATTTATTTTAAGACTTAATTACTTATAAGTAACTTTTTAAGCGTAACAAAAATTCCTTTTTAAGTTCTTTCAATAAGAATCAAATCGAGCACTTTAGTTCCTACCTCGAACTAGAGTGTCAAATGATTCTAGCTACCTATCCTGAAACAACAGCTAACAGCCTCACCATTGAACCACCATCGCCCCCCAAGAAAATAAAAATAAATTAATCCTCCAAAAGGTAATAGAATAGACCTTTCAGAGAAGAATGGAATGGAAACTTTCGAGTGTGTGTGGGTGGGGGAGGGGGGGGGGGGG